TCTTCACGTTCTTTGAAGAGAACAACATCGCCAAGGCTGCCACTGTCCCTAACAACGTAAGTCACGCGCCCTTTGCTCCTCACTCCAAAGCCTCATCTTCTTTTAGCCCAAGATGTACATTGCCGAAACCGGCTGGCCCACTGGATCCAAGGATGTCTCCAATGAAAGCAATGGATTTGGCCGTGCCGATATTCAAGGACTCCAGGTGGGTTCTGGGCTATGTCTCGTCCTTGACCTACCATACTCACGACTTGTAGACCTTCCTCGATACCTTTGTCTGCCAAGCTAACCAGAACAACGTCGGATATTTCTTCTTCGAGGCAAGTCTTCCTTCTAGCTGTCTTTCAGGCGGCAATCTTACAGATACTGGCTTGCAGATGTTTGATGAGGAATGGAAAGATGTGAAGTATGGCGGTGTTGAAGGCCACTGGGGTATCTTCAACGGAGAGTGCGTCACTTCATCTTCGTTTCATTGCGCATTTACTGACATCCCGCGTCAGCCGAACACTCAAGGACGGCCTCGTCCTTCCCGATTGTACCGCTCCCGCATTGGGCAGCAGGTAGACACTGTTTGCCACACACTCTCTATTCACGAATCACGAACAATCATGACGGTTTTGGACACTTTCTATTCGGACACTATTCTTGACTTATTTTGCATCGGCCATTTCAGTCTTGCCCATTCATTATTTGCGTATATATATCTTCTAATGTAGATGGTGTAAAGCTATCAGTAGTCACTGGGACAATTTATCTACCGTTTTGCCTGGAGGAACGGCTTGCCACAAGAGAATTACATAAGAGCGCAAGCGCATGTCGCTGTCATCAGTGCGGCAAGAGCTCTGACCCAGTTCATCATGTACGATCCGCTCAACACCTCGTCCAACTCTGGCTTCGAGGACCCAACGGCCAATCCATTCGCTTCGAGCGACTCGGCGCCTGCATGGCCAACTACGCCGCATCCACCAGGCTCTCCAGTGCCTAACTTGCGACGGGCCTCCCCTGCCCTTCCCCAAACACCAGACAAGGGACCATCACTCGGATGGAACGGGAGGGAACCTCAGATTTACGGGCAGCCAGCAACAGGCTTGATATCCCCCAGCGAAACCACCGGTTCAAATGGACAATCCTTCGAGAAGCCTGACCCGTATCTTAAAGTTAGAATCACCGGCCTCGACAGGAACAGGCGGGATATTCTAATCAAGTTTGACGCCCAAGTATGTATTCTTGGGGTTAGCAGACCCTTCGAGTTGTTGCTCACTATCTTGGCCTCCATCCACACAGACAAATCTGTCAAACTTTACAGGTACCACCTATCGCAATGTGTCGCGGTCCTACTTGGAATTCCAGCAGTTCTACGAAACTGCGGTGCAGAGCAATCCCCAGACTATCATCCCTGCTCTTCCCCTGGCCCAAACATCAGCGCCAACGGATGAGGAAGACGACCGGCTGGTCAAGATAATGCTCCAGAGGTGGTTTACGAGAGTCTGCGAGGATCCCATTTTGCTTGGGGACGAGGATCTGAGGTCATTCATCGAGAGCGACTTTGGATATCAACCAACACCGCGTCCGAGAAGAAAGGCCTCGTCAGGTTTTACACTCATACGCAGGAATGTACCCGACGAGGACGAGGAGTTGCAAAGAGCGAGGTTCGAGCTCACGAAGCTCGAGGGTCAGTTCTTCGAGACTGCGAAGGCAGTGGACAGACTAGCTGTTGCACGCAAAGGTACGTCTGCATGTGAACCACGACCTAGTGCTGCCTGTTGATATTTCACCAGCTCTGGCAACTGCACACTCCGCCATGGGCGACAAGCTCATTAACGTAGCTTCGACTGAAGCTCATCCGCCCCTGGGTAGTGCACTACGCAAGTTTGGCAGAGTGTGGCACAGCATCGCGGACATTGACCATGCCCAATCCATCAGCGAGTGCGTGATTCTAGGAGACTCACTGGGCTATCAAGGGATGAATGCCCGTTCGGCAAAGGAGACGCTTCTAATGCGGACAGGGGTGTTGGAGGAATATCAGGCAGCTGTCAAGACCACGATCTCCAAGAGGAGGCAGATCGAGCGCCTGAAAGCCAGCTCCAACATTCGGCCTGAAAGAGTTGATGACGCTTTGGAAGATATGGAAGAGGTTAGTCTTGATTATCTCTTTATAAGGGCTCTATACTAAAGGATCATCTAGGCCAACAGATACGAGCAAATCCTGGCGAGAAGGGCCGAAGGAATATCCCAGAATCTGCACAGAGCTCTCGACACTCATAATCGATATGCAAATGATGATATCACGACGGCCCTTATCGAGCACGCGAGGTCTTCCATCCTGTATGAACGACAACTCCTCAAAGACCTCGAGTCGCTGCGGGTCGACGTGAGTAACGCCAACAAGAAAGTTCTACCTGCCGCAAAAGCACCGAGGCCATCCATTATTCCTCCGCTGGAAGACTTTGGCGAACATCCAGCGCCACCATCTGCTCCAGTCGTGAATGGGAATCGCCAACCTCGTCATCTACCACCTCCACCACAAACAGCCGGGCCTTCTGGTGCGACGTTTAGGTCGCAACAAGCCAACCCTCCTTCACGCGAACGGTCATCGACTGCTCCGACGCCGGCCATCAATGGGTCTCCTCAAGTACCACAATCTCTTTCTTCCTCTCATTCCTTTGCGCCCGCCCAGTCCTCTCCGTTGGCTGCCCCTGTCGCCCGCCAACCATTAACTGCGTCGGCGTCAGAGGTACTCCCATCTTCAAGGCCACAAACTGGCGGGTCGTCTGGACCTGAGCCTCCGCTTGGCGGCAAGTTCCTGGATGGCAGCAAATCGATGTTCATCACACCTTCTCATACACCTACTTCAAACTCGGCTGCCGGTTCTTCTGGGAATTCGCCAATTGACCCCCTTCGAAATGACGCCTACAAGTCCGCGATCTCTCCTTTGCACGATGGGGTTCAGCGCAGTGCAAGTGCGCAACCGTCACCCCTGGGCAGTTTCGATCCTCTAGGGCAAATCAAGACGAGGACTATGTCTAGCTCTGTTCGAATCCAGAGGCCTAGGCTTGACCCGAAGGAGGCGGCTAGTAAATTGGCCAACATGTTCTAGTTGACCATAGGCAGTTTATGTATTTTCGGCTTCGAGTCTGGTGCTGACCTTTTGCATCTAATTATTACGACCAAACCGTGCTGCTAATGCGATCCCATGCGTACTCTCTCATCTTTCTTGAGTGTGAGTCTTGAAAGAAGAAACCGGAAGTCCCTATTAAGCGCCCGCGACGGACTGTGCCGGGCCGGGATTCACATGGCTCGGCGATCACTTCGCTGAAGCGGGAAACCCACTTTGGCTGGATACCTTCACTCAGTCATTGCCCAGTACACATCTAGTATGGCAGACGATGATACACAGGTAACAGGCTCGTCCAATGGCAACTCTTCCGAATCTCAGCAACCTCAACCGAGTCCATCTCCGCCAGTCGAGCAGCCAGCAGCAGCACCGGCAGACACTTCATCCCTGCCGCTGACCTTAATTGGTCCTGGAGTAGAAAGAGAAGACCTGCTTGCCAAAGCACGAGTGTTCCTGCGCTCTCCACAGATGCAGTATCAAGATATAGCGGCCAAGCGTCAATTCCTGGCTGCAAAGGGAATGTCAGAACTTGATGTTGAAGCTCTTCTCCGAGAGCAGGTGTGTCGCGGTGTTTTCTGGGCGTATGCGAAGGCTTGACCATAAAACCTAGCCATATACACCAATGGTTCCCCCACGAACCTACCCGCAACCCCCTCCTTCGAACCTACCAACCCTATTATTGGGATTGCTCCGACTGTTTACATGGGTCGGCGTTGGTTCATTGGGAATGTTGTTCATATACTGGGTGCGTACCGTGAGCCGCCACGGCTGGCATCGTCAACTCAATACAACTTTTAGCGATGGCTTTACCCCCGTATTCTCGCAACGGTCGAAGCTCGACGTTCACTGCGAAAGCACCATCTGGCAACCATGCAAAAACTCACCATCTCCCTTGCCGCTTTGAAAGAGTCCCACTCGGAATCGCTGGCTGAGCTTCCTCGCCAAAATCCTTACTTTGAACCTGAGGATTTTGCGCAGACGCGATCCTTGACTCAGGTGCTGAAGAAACTCGGGGATACAGACCCTGACTATACCTCCGTTCCTCCCGTCACCCTGCTGCGTTGCTCAATCGCCGATTTCACCAAGGGGAAAACTGGCGAGGACTCTCAGCCTACGACAGAGGATATCTTTCTACTCCTCGAAGGCAAAATACCCTGGCTGGCTTCCGAGAAAGCCAACCACTTCAAGGTTTGAATGTTCAACTCATTTTCATGGGCGAAACATGTGCTCATGAATCACGCTAGGGTGTTATCTATGACACACTGGTAACATGTCCTCATTTTGAAGAGCTCGAGGTCGCAGGTATCGTTGACGGTGAAGCACAACATCCGTCCCAACGAAAGTGGAAGTACAACGCTCCTCCTCCAGCGGAACTCTCGCCTATCGTCAAGTCTCTCTCAAATCTCAACTCTTCTCTCCCCAGAACGAATAAAGATGAGCCGCGTTCGAACGTCTTCCAGCACACGCTGCAGGCACTATCAGATTTCACGGGCTACATAAGTAGCAACGTCTATATGCCTTACCGTCCAACAAACGGAATGGGCATGTCAACTGCCTATGGTCTAAGCCCTGCCGAAGAAGCGTTGAAGAAAGAAATCAGGGCTCTTAAAGGTCTTGTGTTGAACCGGTACGCCTTGTCGGATGCTCTCTTCAAAGCGCTGGCTCATTTCGCCATAGTAAAACGTTTATGCCGTCGATACCAAGACCACCCTCATATCAAGGACAGGCATCTTTTAAGCCTGCGCCGTAGCTTACTACAATATAATCGTTCGCGAAAGACGTAAGGGCGTTGGGAGTATCGGTGGGAGCCCGACATGCCGGCAGCCCATTTTGGACTTCCAAACTTCCCAGGACTATGAAGGCTTGTAGTGGATCAATGCTAACCGTCCGTATCGATTAGGGGTTAAATCACTTCGTTGTGGTTGCGTATGCAAAATTCCGAAGAGCCGCTGGTTCGATTCCAGCTACGGACATTTTTACATTTTAGTCGACATGACCAGATAGATGTCTGCAAGATTGTCCAGCCAACCGCCAATCCATCAGATTCATGGTCCTGCCTTTCCCTCTCTCAGCTTTACTGGAAACTTTTGTTTCATGTTCGACTTGTATTTGTTCTATTCGTTCTGACTCTTTCTTATGTGTCCATTGATTCTCTTATTCAGACTGACTCATTTATTTGTTCATAACTTGGACAATTGACTCGTATACAACTACAGGTTCTGCAAGGCCGCCAGGACTCTTCTCATATGATATTTATGGTAGGAGTATTTCGCGTATTTAAGCTGGACTGTGCTACTAAAAGCAGTCATCAGTTTTCATCCTCCTCGACCTCTCTAGTCAACAAACCATGACTTCCGCTTCTTCGCAGCGCTCTCGATTCACTAGCCTCTCGGTAACATTCTTGGGAACAGCGTCTGCACAACCCTCTTCTACCAGGAATCATTCTGCTCTTGCTCTACGACTTGGCGGAGATGTCTGGATCTTTGACTGCGGCGAGGCAACCCAGCACCAGCTACAGAAGAGCACGGTGAAGATGGGCAAAATTGAAAAGATTTTTATCACACATACTCATGGTGCTACTGAATATCTTCAAGATCTGTTGTATCTGTGTTGACCCTCTGCAAGGCGACCATATCTTTGGGCTGGCTCCGCTCCTCGCAAGCCTCATGAACGGGGCAGGCGGTGTTGTCGGGGGGGATGGTGATCCACGGCAATCCATTGACAAAAGCATCCCAGTATGTTGCACCATACCACTGGGTCTGTTCCGAAGTACACCTGATAAAATCCTCGTGTAGCCTCTTGAGATCTATGGCCCACTAGGAACGCGCGCTTATGTGCGCTCCGCACTGTCATGCACCTATACTCTCTTGGGTCGACCATATGTCGTCCATGAGCTCAGGTTTCCCGACGATCCCGCCGGAGAACATGGCTTTGGCTTCCAGCGGTCGAACGCTGAATCCGACAAAGGTCGAAATATCGCAATGGTTGATGGGCTCTGGCCGGATATCTATCGAGACGAAGTCGTGTCCGTCTCTGCGGCACCCATCCTCCACTCCGTACCTTGCGTAGGGTATGTGATAACAGAGGCGCCTGTACCCGGAAAGGTGGATCCTGCAAAGTACATCCCCGAAATCAAAAGGACAAAAACACCCATGAGTGTTATGCGGCAATTACAAGAAGGGCAGGAGGTAGTGCTGAATGATGGGACTGTTTTGGCTGGCCCACCACCTCGTGCCGGAAGGAAGGTCGTCATTCTGGGGGACACCTTCGATCCAGCTGCAATCAGACCTCTTGCAATGAACGCAGAGCTGTTGATTCACGAGGCTACCAATGCTCACTTACCAGACATCGATCCCAACACCAAAGCCGAGGACACCTATGAATCCGTGGAGGCCAGGGCGAAGTCCAGAGGCCATTCGACGCCCCAGATGGCCGGAGCGTTTGCGAAAAGTATCAATGCAAAGAATTTGGTCTTGAACCACTTTTCAGCCCGATATCCCGGAGATTCTGCACCAGAGTCGCTGAAAATCATGGCAGCTATAGGAAAGCAGGCAGAGCAGGAATATGGAAAGCAGGTAACCTGCGCCAGAGACTTGCTTAGCATAGACGTCCCATTCCAAATGTGATGAATTATCCTCTCCAATCACACAATCAACGCAATACTAGTCATCTGGAGGTTCCGAAAGTTCGCTACTTTCGTCGCTTGCTTCACCTTCCTCGAGCTCCTCATCCCTAGCCTTCTTTTTGGATTTGGGCTCTTCTTCGACCTCGCCCATCTCGATATCGTCCTCAACAGCCCCTTCTTCAGCTATTCTGTATGTCGATGACGACTCCCCATTACCACTTTCACTCCCACCGCGCTCTGTCGTAATGGTCACCATTGAGTCGGATTGCTCCAGCCCTTCTGGCACGTCTGGAAGGTCCATCGCAGAGTTTTCCCCTGGCGAATTTGGCACAGACGCCGCGTCTTTGTCCTTGCCAATGAAGCGGAGGGACACAAGGTCTGTCACAATGGCATCTAGTGCAGCCTTTTGTGCCAATAACGTCTTGTCTTGGGTATCGTGCTCGCCACGAATGGTAGCCATGTCATTCTCCAAGGCTGAGATTTCCCTATTGGCGTTGTTTCATTGAGCGACCTTGGTGCGGGTAGAATGACACGCACTGTTCAAGTTCTTCCCTTGGAGGAAGAACGTTGACCCTCTCGGTCACTTGGTCGTACTCGATTTTTCGCTTTCGAAGCATCTGGGCGTGTTCCAAAGCAACTTTGAGCTCCTCAATTTGCTTTCGCAGCTCTGCATGGTTCTCCTCTGCATAAATCCACTCAAAGCTCAGAAATGACGGTCTCTACCATGAAATGTGGAGGACACGAACCTATACGCTGCCTCTCTACTCGATACTGTTCCACCTGCCTCGACTCTGCTTCGCATACCATGGCTGCTTTCTTCAGAGACAGCTGGTAAGTCGCCAATTCAACCACGAAAGCCTCTCGGGTATCTTCGACTGAGCTTGCAGTCGCAGTGGGGGAGCCCTGGCTTGCGGCGGTCGCATATTGGTGAAACTTCTTCAGGACACGTCGCAGTGGTCGCTCGTCGTTCGTTATTCGAGTAAGAATGATGCTATCTGACGTGAAATGCTATTAGCATGCTTGTTCAGTGTTTGTTTATGAATCCGGGAGAGGCGCTCAATTCACCTTCTTCTTCCGCGGTCAGCGGGGGGATTGGAACTTTGGGCGCTTCGCTCGCCATTGTAGCACACCAGCCCGCGACAAGACGCGGTATGTGAAGAAGGACTTGACACTTTGAAATTGGAAGTGGTGGAACAAAGAGGACATCAAAACATCAGAGCCCCAGATTGGGTCAGTGGACCAAACAAGCGTATATTGTGGCCAGCGCCTATTCACAGCTGCTTGATTACTCAGTCATAAATAGTTAATTTAAATATGTGACTGAATTAAGAAGAGTACAGCTAGAACGCTACATGACCTGAGACTAGAAGAAGACAGGTAGACTAAGCAGCCGAGCCTTCCAGAGGGCGACGACGGGACTGACCAGCAGACACTATCTTGCGTTTCGCCTCCTCGTCCAGGTAAGACCAGAAAGCAATCTCCTTTTGTAGCTTCAGATGTGCGGTGTGCTGGGTACCGTTCTATTTCCCTACTTAGTTTAGAACACCTCGTCAGTCAATGAAACGACGTACACTGAGGCCTTGGAGGATCGTTTCGTAAATGGAAGACTGCGCTGTGGCTTTAGAAACGCGATCAGATATCTTCTCTGTGTGTCGGTTGATAAGTTTCACGAGTTCTTCACGGAGTTTCTGTAGGCTACGAACAAGATCAGCAGACGAGAGCTCACGGTGCTTGGAAAGCGTACTTTGCGAAAATCATTGTCTCCTCTTCGTGCTCCGTCAGGTAAACGAAGGAGTTGAAGAAGTTGACGTAGTTCCGCGAGACCTGATAGGAGGTGAATCAGGGCGTATCCGACTGGCGGTACACCATACCTTTGCAACAGTTGCATCCGTGATTGGAGAGGCTCTGCTAAAGTAACCTCCGCTCGTGCCTTCAGCCACCCGCTTCAAACTCTCCACGTGTTCATGCATGGCCTTTTGGAAGATGGGCCACATTTGCAGGCGAACGCTAAAGATGAAGTTCTCGGCTGGCGGGCAACGTCGCTTCTGGATCTCAGTGACCACTTCTTCCGTTAGACGAATCATGGTCAAAAGTGGGATTGTCGATGGCATAGGTTCTAGAACAGACCGGATGAAAGCCTACAAAAATGTTTAGGTAAAGTGCAGAAACGCATAGCGAGCCATTCATCACCTGGCAGTATTCCAGAACGGGATCCATGACTTGCTTCCAGATCGAGTCGACCAAGGCTTGCTCCTCCTTCGATGACATTTGCTGCAAGACACTACCAATTGGGGGAGCGCCTGATATGGTCTGAGCGATGGCGCCGAATTCCGACGTTACTGGAGACCGCAGGTCGTCTGCAGGAGCAAACCCAGCCGCGTCAGGTGTAGCCATCGCACCTGGCGTAGGCACCACCGCATTAGGAGTAAGCAAGGCCAAACTGGTATCAACGGATGACGGAGAAGGTGAAGAGGCAAAGAAGTTCGAGATGAAGCTGTACTCAGATGTCGCATTATCCATAAAGACGAGGAACAGCGACCTGAGAAGACCTTCAACGGGTTCTTTCTGCCTCCGTCATTAAGATGGTCGATACGAATGATGCTGAAGTACTCACATGGTTCTTGTCGTCTGCCATGAAACCAAGAGTGGTGCCAGGCCCATCTATTCGCCCATGCTGTAGTCGATTGACGCTGAAGTCTGTGTTCTGTCCGCTCTCCAATGCGGTGATGGTCTCGAATTTCTCAAGAGTTCTGGCCTGCGCCTGTCATTCCCTACAATGTCAACCAACACTAGCAAATGCATACCTTGATCGAGGATAGATTGCGAGCATATCGTCGGAAACCCGTCTCGTAGTAGAGACGCGCAGCACCTGCATACGCGCGCTGTAGCTCATTCGCAACTGTCGGTGCCTGACGTTGCAGGAAACCAAACAGGGGCGCGTATTTCAGCAGAATTGACGACTGCATGACTTGCATGTTGGTTGTAACACTGCTTCGAATGGGTTGGAATAGAGCCAAGAAGAAGCCCCTTAATTTGGTTGCAGCCTACTTGCGTCAAGACGAGTTCGCTCAGAAGAAGGAACAGCAACGTACCACTATCCTCAATCCTTCAGCGACTTCTCCCAGGTCCCGCGCAGCTTTCACTCGTGTCCGAGACTTGGAGGTAATCAACCGCTTCTCAAATTCGCTGATAGTATCCAACCATGGCTCCCCAACATTCGTGTCTAGGATAGTCCGTGAAAGTGAGGGGGAGATGGTTATATCCGAGAGGAGACTGGATAACGGGCGTTCGATTTTCTGCTCAAGGGTCAAGACCACGACCGCAGAAAGTGCACATTCAACTCACCTT